TATGCATATTAATATGGACCTTCTTTAATTGATTTGTCATGGCTCTTTCTCTTGGCCAACATATGGACTATTTTAATCAAGTGGTGTCTCACTAGTACTGGGGTTACTCACACAGCCTATTAAAAAACTTTCCAAGCCTTTTTTCCTTTTCTAAACGAAAATTGTCGATCAGCATTTATTGCTATATTCACTATAATATATTTTACAATTTACCTAATTACTATGAAAAACTTTAATAAAAAATAAAATACAATTTCATCGATGATTATTTTAATTATGGGTTATCTATCGAACCAGTTGGGATTAAAATTTCCAAGTCAGAATTAAGTATAAACCTTCCTTTGAAAATTCTTGCCCGTTTTTTATCATCCCACCCGTCTTCTTTAGAAATATCATCTACCTCCAAAAATAATCTTCTCAACTCTTCTTCCAGTTCACTAATTTTTAACTCCAATTCTTCAATATGATGTTTATCGTATTCTTCTACACTAACTGCAACTACACTCATCACCTTTATCACTCTCCACAATCTAAATAAAACCAATAATCCTGCAACTTCTCTTTGTTTACCCTTTAAGAATATCTCTAATAAAAACGTAGCCAATACTATAGTTGCATCAAATATATGAATTAACCAATGATTGTTCTTGAAAAAATACGTTTTAAATCCATATACGAACGCATGTAATGTTATTTCAAGTAAAAACATTATATTAACAAAAAATGCCAACACCTCCAATCCTTCAATTAATTCATTATCTGTATCATATTTATCTGGAGCCAAAAATTCTAATAATATTATTGTCATTATACATGAAAAATCCACTCCAATTAATCCCAATATTATCCAATGTACCCTTCTTGATTCTAAACGTTTTTCGAGCCATTCTCTAACAGTTGGTTTGGTCATTGTTTCTTAATGACTAAGAATTAATTTAGTAATAATAAAATTTCCAAAAAAGGATTGTGCTGTTTCACGAAAACAAAAAAAGTGTGTGAACATCATGTCATAACCATGATATTCGCTCTATTTTATCATGCATGCTATTATTTCATTGGGCGTCTTTATAAATTTGCTGGTAATGTTATAGTTTATCGAGATGGTCAAGGCATATGGTATGGACGTGTGATTCCATGTCATGTTGAAAGTATAATAGAGTCAACTGTCATCGAAGGAAAAGTAATAAAAGATTTATATCGAGGATCAATGAATGGAAGTTTTGCACCAGGAAAAGGTGGAAGATTAGATTGGTAATATAATAGTCGGTATTAGCACAATAGTAATGATAAATAATAATCGTAATAGTAATTTAATTAGAATAATTAATATTTTAAAAATAAACAAATCAATAAATCCATCCTTCCATGATGCTGATATTTGTTTGGGAAATACAAAATTTCAATCACTTTTATTTTTAAATACTACTAATACGATTATGATCCGTGGATGATCAATTACAATTCCGGATTTGACGGATAGCTTTTTTTAACATCTGGATGATCATTATCATTATCGTGTATTTTTGTAACATCAAAAAAAAACAGATGTATTTTTGTAACGTTAAAAAACAATCATTTACTCATTTGCATTGCTCCTTTAATTATTTTGTAACATTACTCATAATAGATAATGATAATGATTATTTATAATTATAGTGATAATGATAACGACATTGATAATGATAATGAAAGTGAACCTACAGTCAAACCCTCGTTTCAACGAGTTTTGTTTTTAGTCCCTCCATTTTTAATTAAATAATTTTATATTTAATATTAAAAAAATGAAAGCAAACATTTTATCCAAATTTCCAAATAATAAAAGAAAGATGAATGCGAACAACAACAATAAAGTTGTTTAAAATATAACATGAACAATTTCCAAAAAAATCTATATAATAAAGATGAAATTTTTTTTTATCAAAATTTTTACAATCTATGCAATTAAAATTTTCTTTTACCTATAAAAAGATCTGCACTGAGCATGCAATAAAGTGTCTTTCTTAAAACTATATATTAAAATATAAAATATGGTTATATTTTGGTAAGTTGAACTTAAATTTTGCAGAAATTGTAAATTTCTAAATGACAAAAAAAAACCAGTAAAAAACTTCAATAATTAAATGTAAATTAAGGTATAATTGTTTCTTATTAAAATCAATCTTACGTATGCCAAGAAATTTTTTTTATAATATAAAAGAAAAAAGTTAACTCTAGAGATACAATCTTGAGCTCTGTTTCGTCAAGAGTTGTAATCCTGAAAATTGATGACACATTAACAGTTCCTTCAATGGCAGATGGTTGTAAAAAGTGAAAGGAAAAGAAAAAGAGAAAGAGCCATGACAAATCAATTAAAGAAGGTCCATATTAATATGCATATATCCAACGTCCTTCTTATACTGGATTTTCATTGGTAGGTTATATCTTGCTTGGAGAATTAAATATATTTCCACCAGAGTAATGGTAATAGATTAATATATTATGTGGACTCACCCATTATTTTTATTTTTTGTTTCAAGTGTCTGTTACAGTATAAAGTGTTCTTAGTTTCAATTTCGCATACAACAGATGTTAATATACACTTGGCTAATATTGAACAAGAAGAAAAGGTGGCGAGGAAGAAATAGGAAGTTGTCGGGAGAAATCGGGAGAATGACAGTAGTGTTTATAGTGATGTTTCATCATTGTATGTAATAATATCCCGCCATCACCAGCAACTAATAATGTTATTGTTGCTAAAATAACTTACGGTTGAAAATGTCAATGATGTATCAGATCGAGATCCATTCATCGTTGGAAATGGGGAGTACAATAAATTATGTATTTATTTGTAATAATTTGCAAATAAATTCTAATCTTAATATTATTCAAACAAATTTATAAAGACGCCCAATGAAATAATAGCATGCATGATAAAATAGAGCGAATATCATGGTTATGACATGATGTTCACACACTTTTTTTGTTTTCGTGAAACAGCACAATCCTTTTTTGGAAATTTTATTATTATTAATTATTAACGAATAAATTTTGTTACACTAAATTAATTCTTAGTCATTAAGAAACAATGACCAAACCAACTGTTAGAGAATGGCTCGAAAAACGTTTAGAATCAAGAAGGGTACATTGGATAATATTGGGATTAATTGGAGTGGATTTTTCATGTATAATGACAATAATATTATTAGAATTTTTGGCTCCAGATAAATATGATACAGATAATGAATTAATTGAAGGATTGGAGGTGTTGGCATTTTTTGTTAATATAATGTTTTTACTTGAAATAACATTACATGCGTTCGTATATGGATTTAAAACGTATTTTTTCAAGAACAATCATTGGTTAATTCATATATTTGATGCAACTATAGTATTGGCTACGTTTTTATTAGAGATATTCTTAAAGGGTAAACAAAGAGAAGTTGCAGGATTATTGGTTTTATTTAGATTGTGGAGAGTGATAAAGGTGATGAGTGTAGTTGCAGTTAGTGTAGAAGAATACGATAAACATCATATTGAAGAATTGGAGTTAAAAATTAGTGAACTGGAAGAAGAGTTGAGAAGATTATTTTTGGAGGTAGATGATATTTCTAAAGAAGACGGGTGGGATGATAAAAAACGGGCAAGAATTTTCAAAGGAAGGTTTATACTTAATTCTGACTTGGAAATTTTAATCCCAACTGGTTCGATAGATAACCCATAATTAAAATAATCATCGATGAAATTGTATTTTATTTTTTATTAAAGTTTTTCATAGTAATTAGGTAAATTGTAAAATATATTATAGTGAATATAGCAATAAATGCTGATCGACAATTTTCGTTTAGAAAAGGAAAAAAGGCTTGGAAAGTTTTTTAATAGGCTGTGTGAGTAACCCCAGTACTAGTGAGACACCACTTGATTAAAATAGTCCATATGTTGGCCAAGAGAAATTTATATCCTTGGTACTAAATATAGCAAGTCGAATGATGATGATTTTCTGACTTAAGGATCTGATAGAAAATATTTCGGATGCAATTATTAGAATGCATAAAAATCTGATAAATGCAATTGGGAAATCAATCAGATAAATCCTTGTTCAACAAACAATATTACCATATAAATTAAATTACAAATAGTTTATAATATATATATATATATAAATTATACATATTAATATATATATATATAATTATACATATTAATAAAGAAAAAAAAATTTCCTAAAAAAACATTTTTTTTATTCCTTTCCTAAAAAATTAAAAATAAAAAAATTACTTTTATTTAAAATGAATTTTTTTAGCAATCGGTTTTACGGTGCTATTATGTCTCTGCGCTTTTCAACGCAAAATTCCAAAGTTCAAAGTAGCAACAACAACAACAACAACAACAACAACAATAACAACAACAATAACATTCAACTGTACAATAAACCTCAACAAGATCAAATAATTATATTAAAACATCATAAAGATGATCATGAAGACAATCCATGTTTTGACTGTGTGAATCCTTGTTCAACCCATCCTTCATACCCTTCATATCTTAAAATTGATTATAATTCTCCATTGGAAGACACACTAAAGCCATATTTCAAACATGTTTTAATTTCAACGGGTAAAGCAGATTGGATAACCAGAGTAGAAGATGATTCTGCAAGTTTGGCGGGTCAACTACATAAAATTATTAAAGCCAATGATAGTAGTAGTAATAATAATAACAACAACAACAACAACAACAACAATAATAATGTCAAGAAGAAAGAAAGGAAGAAAGATAAAAGAAACAAAATTGAATATGATAATAACGATTTTGATGAAAAAATTTTTAACAACAACTATAATAATGTCAACGATAATAGCATTGTCAATAATACAGAGTCAGAAAAATTGCCTCGTATAGTTATCACTAATAGTAGTCGAGAGAATACTGATAACGACCCAAAATTTTTAAAAGGAAATGATGTTCTCCTATTTCCTGATAATATTTTAATTCGTAATGTAAACCCAAATAATGCTTCAGAATTTTTTAAAACCTTTTTATTGCCCCCACCGTCATCACCACCATCACCATCACCATGGTCACATAAAGATCAAAACATTTCTTTTCAAGTAGATCCAACGCCATACAAAGCTGTCATAGTAATATGTTCACATAAACGACGTGATAAAAGATGCGGTATAACCGGACCAATATTAAAAAATGAATTTGATCGAATATTAAAAGATAAAGGCTTAGACGTAGAAAGGAAAAAAAATGAAGGTGTGGCTGTGTTTTTAAGTAGTCATACTGGAGGTAAAAAATTTTTTTTATTTATTGATTTTTATTATATTTAAAATTCTATAAATTTGTCTTTTCTGATTTTTAATTAATTGATGTTTTTTAGGTCATAAATTTGCTGGTAATGTTATAGTTTATCGAGATGGTCAAGGCATATGGTATGGACGTGTGATTCCATGTCATGTTGAAAGTATAATAGAGTCAACTGTCATCGAAGGAAAAGTAATAAAAGATTTATATCGAGGATCAATGAATGGAAGTTTTGCACCAGGAAAAGGTGGAAGATTAGATTGGTAATATAATAGTCGGTATTAGCACAATAGTAATGATAAATAATAATCGTAATAGTAATTTAATTAGAATAATTAATATTTTAAAAATAAACAAATCAATAAATCCATCCTTCCATGATGCTGATATTTGTTTGGGAAATACAAAATTTCAATCACTTTTATTTTTAAATACTACTAATACGATTATGATCCGTGGATGATCAATTACAATTCCGGATTTGACGGATAGCTTTTTTTAACATCTGGATGATCATTATCATTATCGTGTATTTTTGTAACATCAAAAAAAAACAGATGTATTTTTGTAACGTTAAAAAACAATCATTTACTCATTTGCATTGCTCCTTTAATTATTTTGTAACATTACTCATAATAGATAATGATAATGATTATTTATAATTATAGTGATAATGATAACGACATTGATAATGATAATGAAAGTGAACCTACAGTCAAACCCTCGTTTCAACGAGTTTTGTTTTTAGTCCCTCCATTTTTAATTAAATAATTTTATATTTAATATTAAAAAAATGAAAGCAAACATTTTATCCAAATTTCCAAATAATAAAAGAAAGATGAATGCGAACAACAACAATAAAGTTGTTTAAAATATAACATGAACAATTTCCAAAAAAATCTATATAATAAAGATGAAATTTTTTTTTATCAAAATTTTTACAATCTATGCAATTAAAATTTTCTTTTACCTATAAAAAGATCTGCACTGAGCATGCAATAAAGTGTCTTTCTTAAAACTATATATTAAAATATAAAATATGGTTATATTTTGGTAAGTTGAACTTAAATTTTGCAGAAATTGTAAATTTCTAAATGACAAAAAAAAACCAGTAAAAAACTTCAATAATTAAATGTAAATTAAGGTATAATTGTTTCTTATTAAAATCAATCTTACGTATGCCAAGAAATTTTTTTTATAATATAAAAGAAAAAAGTTAACTCTAGAGATACAATCTTGAGCTCTGTTTCGTCAAGAGTTGTAATCCTGAAAATTGATGACACATTAACAGTTCCTTCAATGGCAGATGGTTGTAAAAAGTGAAAGGAAAAGAAAAAGAGAAAGAGCCATGACAAATCAATTAAAGAAGGTCCATATTAATATGCATATATCCAACGTCCTTCTTATACTGGATTTTCATTGGTAGGTTATATCTTGCTTGGAGAATTAAATATATTTCCACCAGAGTAATGGTAATAGATTAATATATTATGTGGACTCACCCATTATTTTTATTTTTTGTTTCAAGTGTCTGTTACAGTATAAAGTGTTCTAGATTTCTCAATCATTGATATATACATATCTAAAACTTGATAAGTCGGTCAATCACTTGGCCAAAGTGTAATAGTAATTAAATAAGTCGGTATCACGTGATATATCATTATGTCATTACTATTTTAGTAATGTCTGATTTAATAATTTTTTATTCGTAATATTTCGTCATTAGCAAAATGATTATTTGGGGCATACTAATACTGCAGCAAAACCAGACAAAGCGAATGTTGGTATTACCAAAGGTTTATTTAATATCACACATTTTTTTTATACATCATATATTAACGTGTTGTTACAAAAAAAAATGGAAATTTACTTCTCAATAGCAGCAGTTGATTTTTATTGATATGAAATTTATTATATATTCATCAGAATGCCTTAACAAATTTTAGTTTTACTTTGTTTTAATGATGTTGTGCGTGAATTAAAATTTTGGGGTGTTTGAATACAAAATTCTGATTGGCCAATTTGAATTTCACGCGCGTGAATTTCAAATTGACGCAGACTCCCAAATTCACCCACAACAATGAAGAAGTTCAAATTTTTTTATGAAATGAAGTTATTTTAAAAAACATTTGTTACACAAGTTGGAAATTTGTTTTTACATGTTAATTAATATAGAAAATCAGCTGAAACGAAATGTCCTGTGACTAATATGCAATTGAATACATTGTCAAAAAAGTAGCAGAATACACATGACAAAAGTTAAATATTGATTATCACGTTATTGAAATGGATTGAAAGTGTTTATTGATATTTTTATATAATAAAATTTAATGAATAAGAAATTAATAATTTTATAAAAGTTCACTTTTTTATCCTGATAAAGGTATAATAAAAAGATATTGCAAGTTGGATTGATTGAATGTCATATTAGTTGAATTAAATTGATTGTTGTTATAATAATAATAGTAAATTTGTAGATTTACATCACAGTTACCTTTTGTTATTATTTTTCAACTTGGACAAATGAATGCATTCCTATATAAAAAATAAAAAAAAATAAGGATTTATCTTAAAAAGAATAATTAATTGTATTTTTAATATTAATATATAATATACCTCATCTGATGATGATGTATATGAAGCCTGTCAAAAGAATTCCCAAACCCCAAACTACTTTGTACACCCATGCTCCCAACCAATAAGTGCCTAGGAAATGGTGATTGTGGTGATTTCCTATAAATACAAGTAAAAAGATCAAGTAAAATGATATTTATTATTATTAACACTCAAATTTATACCTACTGCATAACAATGCCTCTTCTTTTTTTGTGGATGCTTCAAAGGTCTGTTCTTATAATTTTTTTCTGGACCTCTAGGGCGAAGATTATACCCAGTTTCTTCAGCCCTTCTTCTTTTGTTATTACCTAATTTTTAATAATAATAAATAATAATAATAAAAACATTATTAGTAAAAATAAAAATAGATTGTAAAATAACTAATTAATTTCATCAACAGTCCTAATTTCATCTTCATTATTACCATTATTATCAACATCCTGTAATAGGAAGATACAATAATATAAAAGTGAATTTCTGAAATGGAATACAAATTATTATACTGAAAAAGTCTTTAATACTTATGTTATGATCATTGGTATCAATGTTCTTTAATAGGAAGAAGGTATAATAATGTAAAGGTTAGAAGGTCAAATTTCTGAAATAAAAATGGATAATTACTAAACATAGATGTTATTTCAACTTACATTATCATTATTATTATCAGTATTATTATTGTTATTATTATTATTGAGATTCTTTGATAGAAAGAAGACATGATAAAATAAAGGCTGGATTTCTGAAAGGAAAATGAACAATTGCTAAACAGAGATGTTCTTTTAATTTAAATGTATTAGTATATTAATCTTCCTGCCCCTGCTTTCCTAGCCAATAATCATCTAGTGTATCAGTGGTTGTTGATCACTTCCACAATCCTAGGCACAGATGCCATGGGTGTACAGTTTGAGATTTGGAGATTCTTTGACAGGTTACTTGTTGAAAATAATCTAAATGAAAAACTTGGTTTAATTTTTTAAAAAGAAGGCACACATTTTAAGAATATGCATATATGGAGTCACAATTCCACTCACAGGAGAACTTTCTTTTTTCTTCATACATTCCTACCACCACCACCAAGTTTTATATGAAGTGTATTGCCTAGAGTAATTACTGGTTTTTTACTTGATTTCCAAAATGGTATTAATACTTAAGTAAAGTTGAAATGAAAAGCCCCAGTTCCTGCTTCTACATCTTCAACCAAAATATTACTATAATTGATGTAATAAAAATTGACTTTTTTGTTAAAAGTTTATTAAAAGAATACTTCAAAGAATTTACCATATAAAATAATTACCTTCTAAACCAGTTGCATCTTGAGTTACCATTATATGTATATTTGAAAATGTGTTTTGTTTGGTTTCAGCCATTTCAAAACTTATTACTATAAATTAAATTAAATTAAATGAAACCAAGTTATGTTAATTCTTGCCTTACTGATTTCAAAACTGATTCTAAGCCATATATGATGGCAAAAGTCATTCAATAAAATTTGAAACTTTCCACAAATTTTTTTGAAATCTTGGCAAATTTGAAAATCAAAATAATTACTATATAAGAAATAGATCATCACAAAATTTCAAATCATGTGATAGTAAAGAAGAAACCGTTTCAAGTGTTTCAAGCTCTTCATCTGATTTAGAATCAGCTGATTATTCTTCTGATAGTGAAAAGGAAGAAGAATATGGTGACAATGATAATGACGAAGAAAAAGATGAAAAAGATGATGATGATTTGATTTCTGATGCATCCTCAAATACTGACAAATCTTCTTCAAATGAAGATGATGATAATGAATGATAATGACAGTTCATAACCTGATAACCTTGAATATTTAATAAATAACCCACTGTCTTTGTATCCAAAATGAACAGGGAAAAACATAAAAAATTTTGGTTATTTTTTTTTGCAGGTTTGTGTTACTTAATGCAAATTGCGTAGATAATCTTCAAAAAAAATTTTATTTTTGAATAAAGTAAATAAAGAAGATAAAACATGAAGATACAAACATTTTCACCGATTATTTTTATGGTAAATGATTTTAAATATCTTATTTTATCTTTAATAAATTCGTTAATATTTTATTAATAAAAGTATTATTATTTAATAGAGAGCCATGAGTAATAAATTGAATAATAAATTGAATAATAATAGATTATTAACATCAAAATGTCAATGTATTTTTACAAATAATAATAATAAAATATTATTATTTAAAAATAGGTATATGTTGCGGGTAAATATGAAGTATTGAAACGATATTTTAAAAAAAAATTTTTCCCATGAATTAAAAATTCCAAAACTAATGTATGTTTTTATATTTTTTATCTTAGAATTTTTCAACAACAACACCAAAACTTTCATTAATTAGTAGATTAATAGAATTAAAGGAACACTTTAGAAAATCATCATCATCAAAAAAAACTCTCGCCAGCGATAAGAGTAATAAAGATTTAACGAAAGAAAAAATAAATCCATACATGGTAGAATCACCATATTTGGACACGTTTCAAAGACCACAAAAATTGGAATCGGATTTTTCACCATTCACCAAGAAATTATTATTAAAATTAGCATCAATATTTGGATATGATTCAATACCAATACATGCTATGAGAGTAACAAGAGAATTATATCAAATGTGTGCAAAACAAATGGATGATAATCGAGAATTTTATATTGAAAAATGTGATTTACCTGATAGTTTTCAAACTTGGTTCCAGATCACTTTACTTCATGTTTGGATATTGATGGTTAGATGTAGATCAGAAGTTGGAGGAAGAGTCTACATTCAACAATTAGTAAATCATTTTTTTGATGATTCCGATTGGAGAATAAGAAATATACATGGTGTATGATATTATTAAAACCCTTATATAGTGTTTTAGATTTATTGATTATCAATTAATTAATTATCATTATTTAAATAGATCACATCAAATAGTATTGTTTCTCACTATGTCAAAGATTTATTATCACAATTTAAAGGCGCGATTATGTCATATGATGAAGGAATGTGTAAAGATGATCCTGTATTGGCAGCGGCTTTATGGAGGTAATAAAAAACTAAATTAAAACCATATTATATTATAATATATTATAATATATTATATATTTGATGATTTTTCTTATTCTTTCTATTAGAAATATTTTGGTAACAGAAGGAACAGCAGAGAATATTGCATATTTGGTTGAATATGTCAGATTAGAACTACAAAAATTAGATAAATATGACTTTGAAGAAATTTTACAGGGTCATGTTAAATTTTCCAAACCTGGACAGCAAAAATATATAGATAGAAAAATAAATAAATTACATAAATTAATTTAATATTCGATTCCACCCATTAATTTATGAAAAATTTCTCATTTTCACTCAATCTCTTATAATATTATATTTCTGATTGATTTTTTGATATGGTGTTATTGAATGCAATATCGGTTTTATCCTCATTTTTGGCCAGTTTTCGATGCTTGCTTTTCCATATTCTTCATTAATATGGGTATGTTGCAGACAAAGTGAACATTATGTCACAGGGTCAAATTTTGGCCATTTTTATAATGCAGACTCATATTACACCTCAAGAAATTACTCGTGAATATTTTGTTCAAAAAATAATAGCAAATATGAAAGAAAACTTATGAATTCAAATAAAAATTTTTTAAAGAAAAAATCAAAACCAAAAATCGAAATATTATAAAAAAAAAAAAAAATTATCAACATAAAAATGGTACTTAACAAAAATGGTTACCTTCACAAATGAAGTTTTTTGTTGATTGGACTTATTCTTTGGTTTTTTACTATATTATCAAACTTATAAAAATTAGCTTTATAATAATATCAACTAAAATATTGATAAAATGATTAATCTACACAGTGAATCTCGATTTAATGGATAAGTTTGGTACCAAGAAATTTATCCGCTAATCCGTAAAAACGAGATTTACAAATTACGTGATTATGATACACAATCGTAATAATAACAAATTTATCAGGTAGGTCCTATGTAATCCCACTGGCAAACTTATTTTTTTTGCAACTTTATATTATAACCATGTGATAACAATCAGTTTATCGTTTAATAATAAGAAGAATTTATCAGTTATCATACGTTTTACATTTATATTTCAAAATAATAATGATCATCATTATCCACAAATTTCATGAAAGTGAATTGCAAAAATTTTTATCAATAAAAAATGAATTCTATGGTATAGAAAGTCTATAACCACCAATTTTGCATATGGTTTTTAAAAGAATAGAAGTTCATTTCTATATATCATTTTTTTAAAAAATAGATTTGTTATGACATAGATTAGGACTCGAGCTTTAATGTAACAGATTTTTTTTTCAAAATATTGGTGGGACACTTCAACACCACCGACACCAACAAATTTTCTTCTGCAGAACTGCGATTATGTTTTTTCTGAGAGTTTTTTGTTCACTAACATTTAATGCACAGGGACGTCCACTTCTTGGTGCACTTCTTAGGCTTTCAGCATTTTCATAACGTTTAATGGTATCATAAACTGTAGATTTTGGAAGATTAAGTATCTTTACAATTTTATTAAGACTACTACCACCTAATCTAAGACCCAAAACTTTTCCATGCTCAGCTTCAGTTAATTCGGCATTTTTAAAAATTTAATCGATTTTATTATCGTCAGATTATTTTTAATAAAAAATTTTCTACCAATGACAGGAGAATGATTTTTCCCATAATTATATCTTAGAACTTAGGCTACAAAATGGTATTTTTGGTTTTTTCTCGTAATGTAAATACAAATTTAAACAAAATTCGAGGATGAAAATCACAAATTTAAGGGTAGAGACCTCCCTATAAATGATTTTCATTATTTAATGATCTGCACTACATATTTGATTCCGCGTATAAGATACATAATGTGTAAAATACTGAAAGGTAATCATATAAAGAATACATTTATTTTATTATAAACATGTAGTATCAAATAAATATTAATCTCAATTATTATACAAAAGTACTTTGAAAATTTTTTTTAAAAACAATTATTATTATTATATATATATACAAACATTTTTTTTCTTTTATATATATTATATGTAGTAATGATTAGATAATTCCATTAACTTTCCTCGAAATAGACAAAGAAATATATGGTAGTGATATAATTATAATATTACAACATAATATTACTAATAGAAAGATTTGTCTTCAATTGAAGGATCCACCTGTATACTAGGTAGATTCGATGGCTTAACACATTACACACTGTATTGAGATTATTTTTCATATTTAATCAGATGATAACTTGGAGTTGGTGAATAAATATGCGGAGATTGTATTTTTTATATTTAATTTACACCATATTATTACTTATTATATATTGATATTGTTGTTATTATTATATTCTTAATTTAATTTGAACAAAAAATCAAACAAAAATATTGGAGTTGATGAAAAAAAAATATTGTATTTTTTATATTTAATTTGTTTATTAAATCATTTTTTCATGATATTATTATTAATTGCATATTGATGTTGATGTTGTTATTATTCTTAAGATGATTTAATTTAGTCAAAATTGATACTTGGAGTTATAACAAGCAAGATTATATTTTATTGTTTTTTTATTACATACTATCTTGTTATATTTTTAGATGATCCAATTATACATGAAGTCGAAATTAAAACTCCAAAGTCGAAATGTTTTGACTTGAGGAAACTACATAGTAAAAATCAGTTTCGACCCTATTTTGACCAGATCTGCAAATGGTCGAAATAGTTTCGACTTCATGTATAGATGAGTTTGGGCAACCTTTAACTGAGGACGGCTTGATCCAATATATCCAAAATCAAGCTTCAATTATAGAGTTGGCAGATAAATATGAGTTGAAGACTACGATCTTATATTTGATTATTAATCGTTTTACACATCATACTATACATGAAGTTGAAATGTTTGAAATTATGTCATATCACATGAGAACAGTGATAAAGGTGAAATAATGGTATTTCAATATTCATAGCATAATAAAAATAACTCACTAATCAGTGATAAATTTTTCTAAAGAAGAATTATTAGTTTGCATGTATTGTATCCAGTGTGGAATCCTAAAATAAATAAATAAAAATATTAACAAAATATTATTATATATTTATTTGCTTATTATTATATTAATTATTACTAAAACATATGTATAAAATAAAAACTAGGGAATTAAATCTCATTTCAGATATGTAGTATAAATATTAATAAGTTAACATTAGGCACTTGTGACTTTAAGTAATAAATATTATTGCATTTAACACAGATATTTATGTGTTTGTGGTTTAAAATAAACTTTTGCAACTTTAACGGTCATTCCGCATGTTTAACTTATACATTCGCTAACTTAATTAGACATTCGCTAAGTATTTTAACTTGGTTGATAATACAAGTCTTTATTTTTAATACTAACTTTTTAATTTTTTTACATACAGTTAAAATTATAGTTCTCAGTGATATATTCTATATAATTTCATAAACAAATAATAAAAGATAAGTTGCGTTTTATTTAAATATATCACGAGAATTTTTAATGGACAATTTTCATATGTACTATATATGTAGATCCTCTACCCTTAATTGAAGTTTGTTTTTTTTTGGTTAAAAAATTAGTATAAATACCAGAATTGTGAAATATTGCATACACATTTGTTAGAACATAAGCTACATGATGATATTTTCAAAAAAAATTATTATGTAAAAGTTTGCGGAATTAATAAAAAGCAAGGTTCAGATACTTTCTTCCAGGCAGTGTAAGTGTTTATCAAAAGAGGGTCAGGTTATTATGACAAATACACATTCAATCCTGATGAATTTAAAAAGAAAGCTTCAGAAGTAAAAATTTGAAATCTTGAGTTCATGTTAATATTTATTATGCAAAATATTCCTGAAAATAATATCAACTTGAAACTTATGGTAACAACTTATTTTTAAATAGAAACATTTTATCAAAAAAAGGACCATAAAATTGTGTATGACAAATTGCATAATCCTGGGTTAATTGAGGATTTAAAGTTGAAAAAATTTCCCAATATAATGCTTGGAATAAATGAAAAGAATTTTATTCAATCTTTCATGTTGGATAAGGACATTTCCATTCCATCTCTAATAAGGATTTCTACTATGCACTTGGTATCATTATTGAGAAATTTGTGAGTATGGTTTAATCTTTTCCATAAAAATTACTATATTAACTTCACACTAATTAATTATTTTGCAAAAAATTTGGTATAAAAAGTCATATCAAAACAAAGATTACAAAGTCAATGAAAACTTACTCTCATAGTGTGACAAATGCTTTGGTGGATTTTATACTGTATGTTGTGAAAAATATTGAAGAAAGGTATGAATTTCATCCAAAAAAAATTTTTTAAAAGAATTTATAAATTTCTTTCTGTTTGCATCAATTAACACAAATTCACTTTAGGGATGGGTGTACTTGCCAGTCAACAGACTTTAGAAACAATGTTGGTGGACCAACAAAGTTTCCTGATTTCTTTTCATTTTTCAATTTCACAATGAGCATCATTTTGATTTTCTATTCTCTGAAATAAGTGATGGTCCTTTTCCAACAAATTTGGACCACAATGGTCATGTTTTAAGTGACTTAAAAAGACTTGGAAAATTTTTCAAGGGTTCCTTTAACCATGATTATACATGCAGCCCAAAGTATTTTTGACAATGTCATAAAGGGGATTACACACTATCGAAATCACCAAACCAATTTGGACTGCATTTATAACCATGATCATTTCTTTTTTAAAAAACATGAAAATTATAAGCATTCTGTTCTTATCTGGACCAGCTTAAGAGGATAATGGTTCATTTTCATGAAGCATCTGTTGATTTTACATTCTTGATAGACATTTTTATCCATTTCATAGAATGAATGCTGTTAAGACTTTAACCATTTATAACAATAGACATAAAAAACTACCCAGAATTTCAGCTATTTAGTTAAGTATTCAAATAATTTAGATATAATTTTGGCAACTATTATTATGAAAAACCATTGTAAATATTAATAATTTTTTTTTTTATAATTGTTCTTTTAGAATGTAAAATTAAGAAGAAAAGGAAATAGTTTGGGAGCTTCTCATGAGTAAGTATTGTTAGAACATGATTGTTTTGGGAGCTATTCTAGTTAAAAAATTAAAAACATGTTATTATTATATGGAATAGATAACAAGATATAAGGAAAAAATAATAATATCAATTAGAACTCACATTTCGGCTGATTGCTTTTTGTGTTGTTGACTAGATATCCACAATTTAATTGTGAAAGAGAAGGAATATTATCAGCTTCTAATTCATTATAAATGTGACAAAAGTGACAAAACAATGAAATAAACCAATTATTTTTGTAGATTTTAAATTATGGAGTAAATTTAAAAAAAAATAAAATTCATGACGTTAAATTCTAATTCACCCAATTCACCAATTCCTTCTCAATCATCATCATACAGTATTGGCAATTGGACTTATAGGACTGAACTTATTGGACCAGTCCAAGCAGTCCAGTCCAATAAGTCCAGTCCAATAAATCTATTGGACTTTGGACCAATTCTAAGGGGTAGCCAATTATATTTCAGCATTTAAATTAATGATGACAGATA